TTAGTACCTGGTGCCCCAACAGGGACTAGAACCCAGGGTGCCAGCACTGCAGGGCAGAGAATTAACCAAGGGAGTCATGGTGCTGGTGCTCCATGTACTCTTAAAATGAGGTTCCCAGACCTGAAATTCAGTACTCCTGATGTGTCATAATGAGTATAGTACTAAGTACAAGGACCCTCTCCACCTTTCTTGACACTTTGTCTTAAGTAAAGCAACTTGATCTTTATTTCATTTTGAGATAATTTCATGTTAAAACTCAAAGATTTTGTTCCTGTTATATACTCATTCATATTCTTTTCTCCTATGAATGATTCTTATTGTTTCAAAGTTGTTTCTGGAACATGCTATTCTTGTTTTTAGAGAAACAGTTGAGACTGAAAAAGAAAGTATGTAATAATATTAGAAGATCAGTTGACCCTTATTGTCCATGAGTTCCAGATTTGTGGATTCAACCAATGGTGGATTGAAAATGTTCAGAAAATAATTGTATCTGTACTGGCCACATATGAGCATTTTCTCATATCTATACAATATAACAACTATTTACATAGCATTTACATTGTTTTAGGTATTATAAATAATCTATAGATTATTTAAAATTGTATGGAAGTATAGGTTAATTGAAAACACTACACCATTTTATACAAGGGACTTGAGCATCTGCAGATTTTGGTGTTTACAGGGATTCTGGAACAAATCCCCCATGGAAACCAAGAGATAACTATAGATTGCATTCTGTAACTTGTAGCTTTTGCTGTCTCTGTCAAGTGGTATTCAGGGATTTTATTTAAATTTATATCCTTCTTATTTTACAACAGTGATCCTTGACTGTCAATGCAAAAAGAATGGACAATTTTATCCTAGTGGACATTTGGAGATGTCTAGAGACAGTTTTGTTTATCACAATGTGTGTGTGTGTGTGTGTGTGTGTGTGCGCGCGCGTATGTGTGTGTGTGTGTTTCTATTTATGGGTGCTAGTGGGGTCTAGTGAGTAGAGGCCAGGAATGTTACCAAACATCCTACGTGCATAGGAAATAACGCACAACAAACAGAATTATCTGGTCCAAACTGATAATAGTACCACAGAGCTAAAAAAAATAAAAACCATCGGTATTCTCACAACACACTGATCAAGAGAAATAAAACACATGTTTAAAGTGGCATATTTATCAGCAGTGGGAACAGAACTCTAAGCTTTTCAGCTTTTAATATTTCTTGTCTTCCTAATAATGCTGTATCAAAGGAGTTACTATTTCCTGCTTCAAGTAGGTAAAAAGATGATTTATTTTTTGCTTTGGTTTCTCTTATTCTATGTTTTTTTTAACCAAATGTACATACACATAGAGTTTGCATGACTTGTTTCAACTTTCCCAGACTTGTCACTATCCTTTCTGAAGCACTGACTCCTCAGTGAAGATTAGCCCCTATGAATATTAGCTTCCCATCCATTTAGTTGGATGGAACATGTACTCACTAAGGACCCTTTTAATATGTGCCAGACCCTGCCAACAGACACTTGATGAGTCAGGGGATTTAATTGTGGCTATTTAATCACCAGATATGCATCAAACTTTATATAATTGCCAACAGTGTTCTACAACATTCATCAAACAAATATTCTAATTCTCTGGATGAGAACAGGAATCAAGGCTTGTGATTTTGATACATTTTCAGAATATGATGATGTAGAAGGCTTTATTTTTCGTTTGGAGGTAATAATTAAATGTTAAAGACATGTAAACAGGTTGTAGTATAGTTATATCTTTCTCTTTTTTTGACAGGTAGAGTTATAGACAGTGAGAGACAGAGATAGAGAGAAAGGTCTTCCTTCTGTTGGTTCACTTCCCAAATGGCTGCTACGGCCGGCGCTGCACCGATCTGAAGCCAGGAGCCAGGTGCTTCCTCCTGGTCTCCCACGCAGGTGCAGGGGCCCAAGCACTTGGGCCATTCTCCACTGCACTTCCAGGCTACGGCAGAGAGATGGACTGGAAGAGGAGCAACCAGGACTAGAACCTGGCGCCCATATTGGATGCCGACGCCACAGGCAGAGGATTAACCAAGTGAGCCACGGTGCTGGCGCCAGTTATATCTCTCTGTGAGAGTACTGCACACTAATTTTTATGATAATTTAATGTAAAGGAATCTAACCCAGCCTGGGTTAATAAAAAGGATTCTTTCAGGAAATTACATTTAAACTGAATCTTAGCAAAATGAAGAGAGGACAAGAGGAGACCTGAGGGGAGCTAAAACACATGAAAGAACAGGATACATAAGACAGTATATCTCTGGCTCTTAGATGTGAATAGAACCTTGGTTCAAACACAGACCATTCATCTTCTACTGCTTTCCCAGGCCATAGCAGAGAGCTGGATAAGAAGTAGAGCAACCGGGACTTGAACACCCATATGGGATGCCAGCACTGCAGGCAGTGGCTTTACCCGCTATGCCTCAGTGCGCCCCTCCCCATGATTTCTTTCCTTTCCTTTCCTTTCCTTTCCTTTCCTTTCCTTTCCTTTCCTTTCCTTTCCTTTCCTTTCCTTTCCTTTCCTTTCCTTTCCTTTTCTTTTTGACAGGCAGAGTGGACAGTGAGAGAGAGAGACAGAGAGAAAAGTCATCCTTTTGCCGTTCACCCCGCAATGGCCGCTGTGGCCAGCACACGGCAGCCGGCGCATCGCGCTGATCTGAAGCCAGGAGCCAGGTGCTTCTCCTGGTCTCCCATGCAGTTGCAGGGCCCAAGCACTTGGGCCATCCTGCACTGCACTCCCTGGCCACAGCAGAGAGCTGGACTGGAAGAGGGGCAACCGGGACAGAATCCGGCGCCCCGACCGGGACTAGAACCCAGGGTGCCAGCACCGCAGGTGGAGTATTAGCTTATTGAGCCCAGCACTGGCCCATGATTTCTTTATTCAGTCTTCAGTTGATGAACATTTGGGTTGATTCCATATCATAGCTATTGTGAATTGAGCTGCAATAAACATGGGAGTACAGATAATTCCTTCATATACTGATTTCATTTCCTTTGGATAAATTCCCAGTATTGTGAATTGAGCTGTAAGAAACATGGAGGTACAGATAACTCATATGCTGATTTCATTTCTCTTGGGTAAATTACCAGGAATGGGATGGCTGGGTCATACAGTAGGTCTATATTCAGATTTCTGAGGTATCTCCATACTGTCTTCCACAGTGGCTGCACCAGTTTACATTCTCACCAACAGTGGATTAGGGTATCTTTTCCGCTACATCCTCACCAGCATTTGTTGTTTGTTGATTTCTGTATGAAAGCCATTCTAACCGTGGTGAGGTGAAACCTCATTGTGACTTTGATTTGCATTTCCCAATGGCTAGTGATCCTGAGCATTTTTTTGTGTGTCTGTTGGCCATTTGGATTTTCTCTCTTGAAAAATCCCTGTTCGAGTTGTTTGCCCATTTCTTTTTTTAGCATTTTTTTTAAAAAATATTTATTTATTTATTTGAAAGTCAGAGTTACAGAGAGGCAGAGGCAGAGAGAGAAAGAGAGAGAGAGAGAGGTCTTCCATCTACTGATTGACTTCCCAGATGGCCACAATGGCTGGAACTGTGCTGAACTGAAGCCAGGAGCCAGGAGCTTATTCTGGGTCTCCCATGAGGGTATAGGAGCCCAAAGACTTGGGCAATCCTCTATAGCTTTCCCAGGCCATAGCAGAGAGCTGGATCAGAAGTGGAGCAGCCAGGACTTGAACTGATGCCCATATGGGATGCCGGTACTGCAGGTGGTGGCTTTAATCACTTCACCACTGTACCAGCCCTTGCCCATTTCTTAACTGAGTTTTTTGTTTTGTTGTTGTTGAGTTTCTTGATCTCTTTATATATTTTTGGATATTAATCCTTTATTAGTTGCATAGTTTGCAAATAATTTCTCCCATTCTGTCAGTTTCCTCTTCACTTTGCTGAGTGTCTTTTGCAGTGCAGAAGCTTCTGAATTTGATGTAATCCTATTTGTCAGTTTTGGCTTTGATTGTCTTTGCCTCTGGAGTCTTTTCCAAGAACTCTTTGCCTATGCCAATCTCTTGAAGGGTTTTCCCAATGTTCTCTAATAATTTGATGGTATCAGGTCATCGATTTAGATCTTTGATCCATTTTGAGTGAATTTTTTTTACGACGACTACAGTTTCTAACCTCCCTTAAAGCTATATGTTGTCAGGTGACTAAATTCTGGCTAAGAGGTACAGTTCTGTGTGGCAACTTCCAAATACTTTTAATAGAGATTTGGTATAGGTGGTTTGTTTGTTTTTAATGCATTTATTCTGCTGGTTTAAATGTGGATGTGAAGGCTGATGTCTTGGTATTTTTGTTAATCTGTCAGCTGATCATGAGAATAGAAGGCTACTACATGGATGAAAAATAAGATAGAAATATCCTTAGAGAGGAGTACTGTATGTCTTCAACTATCTACCTCTCAGTGACAGACAAGTTACAAAATTAAACTTTTATTTTGTTTGGGTCATGGTTATTTTTCAGGTAATTTTTACTTGCAACTGAACTGATAATCTCCAAGGCATTTTTCATTATTCCAAGCTGCTTCTTTTAGTGTGATTTTTTTTCCTACTCTGGTTTAATTAAATTATGATTGTCTGCGACTGGCCCTCAACATAGTGTGACCCTGAAGTCCTTTAATGTTAATCTAATTTAAGTCTAATTTTCAGGAAATGGCTCTTGGGCTTCTTTACTTTAAGCATTAAGGGGCTGAAAGGCTGGTAGGGCAATAGGATAAATAATGTTCATTAGGCACCATGACAGCAAATTTTGCTATCTTCATTTTGTAGTACAATCTATTGTTTATCCAATCATCTTTTAATTAATTAGCAATTAAGCTTGCTAAGGATGTGAAGATGCACATTAATAAATCTTGGAAAATTACTCTCATGGGCTGAGGAAAAATGGATTTAAGTCATCTCATCTTTTTAAAAAATGAAATAAGTTGATTTTTCTATTATAATTTATTGTTCATTTCTTTCCAGAAGTACAAAAGGCGGCAGATACTATGGATGTAGAATGTGAGACTCCAGTTCTTACCCAGCTGCGTCTTTGTGACTTCAAGTAAGAATATAGTCTTAATTCCTAGTTAAGAGGATACCCCAAATACCTGGGTAGTAAAATGAGATAGAGTTTTTATCCAAATATTAGGACAAAATCATATATGCCTGGAATAACAAGGACCTAAGAATTTGTTCTCTTCAATGTATTCACTTTGAGGAAACACAAAACAAAGAAAACCAAACAAATAAAAACACACAGAAAAGAAACCAAAGTGAGTGTTAAATAATTCATGTGAGCTGTAGGTAACACAAATTGACATGTATTTTGGTTAAACTTGGTAAATGTCATGCCATGTTCTACCTTATTTATTTATTTCCCCTTTCTCCCCCAGAAACCTGTTATTTAAGAAATGCAGACTTCATGCATTTCATAAGCACAAGTTTAAGAATATAGTGATTCTTCCTACCATACTTGCCCTTCCACCCACTTTCCCACTCCTCTTCCCTTTCCCATTCCCAGTCTCATTCTCCACTAAGATTCATCTTCACTTAACTTTGTACACAGAAGATCAACTCTATACTATGTGAAGAGTTCAATAATTTGCATGGTAAAAAACTAAAAAACTGAAAAATAAAAAACAAAGCAAAACAAAACAATGTTCCTCAATAGTCGAGACAAGGGCTGTTCAAAGTCATTGCATCTTTTATTTCACTTCTATTTCTTCTTCTTCTTTTTTTTTTTGTAGAAACTTAATTAACTTTAACAAAGCAACCAAGAATGATACATCTTTTGGGAGCATAATTATAACACAAACATATAGACATAATTATAATACAACTCTGAGGACAGTGGTCCTGCATGGGAAGTTAATGCACAATGACTCTTGTTGTTAGTTTGACAATTAACACTCTTATGTATGACGTCAGTGATCACCCGAGACTCTTGACATGAGCTGCCGTGGCGGTAGAAACCTTTTTAATCCACAAACTCCATCAGTATTTAGACAGGGCCATAAGCAAAGTGGAAGTTCTCTCCTCCCTTCAGAGACAAGTACCTCCTTCTTTGATGACCACTTCTTTCCATGGGGATCTCACCCACCAACATCCTTCATGTAGGACATTTTTGCCTTAGTGTTTGGCTTTCCATGCCTGAAATGCTCTCATGGACTTTTCAGCCAGGCCAGAATGCCTTAAGGGCTGATTCTGAGGTCAGAGTGCTATTGAAAGCAATTGTCATTCTATCAGTCTGCTGTGTTCCACCTTATTTAAATAAACTTTAAAATGCAATCAAAGTGTATTCCTTGGTATGTCCACAGGTGTCCTCTGCAAAGTGTATTGATTACTGCAAGATGTTCATTTCTCTTTTTATCTTTGGTAAGCAATATGGACCCTACCATTATCACTTAGTTTGTGCCAGTTATAATACAATTCTGGTCTATCCAAGATAGAATTATTTCCTCCTTCTTTCTCCTCCAGTCCCATGACTCAGCCTTTCATAAGGTCTTGTGTTAGGTAGCTTTTTTTTTTTTAATTTTTAATCTAAATTTTTAGACAATTTTATTTCTTGTTTTAAACTTTATTTAGTAAATACAAATTTCCAAAGTACAATTTATGGATTACAATGGCTTTTTCCCCCATAACTTCCCTCCCACCTGCAACCCTCCCATCTCCTGCTCCCTCTCCCATTCACATCAAGATTCATTTTCAATTATCTTTATATACAGAAGATCAATTTAGCATATACTAAGTAAAGATTTCAGCAGTTTGCACCCACACAGAACATAAAGTGTAAAATACTGTTTGAGTACTAGTTATAGCTTTAATTCACATTGAACAACACATTAAGGACAGAGATCCTACATGAAGAGTAAGTGCACAGTGACTCCTGTTGTTGACTTAACAATTTGACACTCTTCTTTATGGCATCAGTAATCTCCCTAGGCTCTAGTCATGAATTGCCAAGGCTATGGAAGCTTTTAAGTTCATGGACTCTGATCTTTTTCAGACAAGGTCATAGTCAAAGTGGAAGTTCTCTCCTCCCTTCAGAGAAAGGTACCTCCTTCTTTGATGGCCTGTTCTTTCTACTGGGATCTCACTCGCGGAGATCTTTCATTTAGGTCCTTTTTATTTTTTTGCCAGAGTGTCTGTCTGCACCTTAATGTTTATTTCAGCTCAATTCGCAATAGCTAAGACCTGGAATCAACCCAAATGCCCATCAACAGTAGACTGGATAAAGAAATTATGGGACATGTACTCTATAGAATAATATACAGCAGTCAAAAACATTGAAATCCAGTCCTTTGCAACAAAAATGGAGGAATCTGGAAAACATCATGCTGAGTGAATTAAGCCAGTCCCAAAGGGACAAATATCATATGTTCTTCCTGATCGGTGACAACTAACTGAGCACCAAAGGGGAAACCTGTTGAAGTGAAATGGACACTATGAGAAACAGTGACTTGATCAGCCCTTGTCCGGATTGTTGATGTACAATTTAATACTTTGTCCCTTTTAGTATTTTTTTTGTTCTACTTAATACTATTGGTTGAACTCTGTAATTAACACACAATTATTCTTAGGTGTTGAAATTTAACTGAAAAGTGATCTCTGTTAAATATAAGAGTGGGAATAAGAGAGGGAGGAGATGTACAATTTGGGACATGCTCAATCGGACTTGCCCCAAATGGTGGAGTTAGAAACATGCCAGGGGATTCCAATACAATCCCATCAAGGTTGCATGAACCAATGCCATCTCACTAGTCCCAGTGATCAATTTCTATTCACAATTGATCATACTGATAGGTCTAAGAGTCAAAGGGATCACACAAAGAAGACTAGTGTCTGCTAATACTAACTGATAGAACAAAAAAGGGAGAGAACAATCCAACATGGGAAGCGGGATACACAGCAGACTCATAGAATGGCAGATGTCCTAAACAGCACTCTGGCCTCAGAATCAGCCCTTAAGGCATTAGGATCTGGCTGAAGAGCCCATGAGAGTGTTAGGTAGTTTTATCCAAATGGAAGTGCTCACACTCTCTACCATTCCCCATAAAACTCTTGTTCTGAGAATTTCTGGTATTGTTTCTGTACAGATGTCTTCTGTTTTGGTCAAAGTCTTTTGAGAATCTGATATATATTGTATAATTACTTGCTGATGGGATGGCTGGAAAGTAGGTGGCTATGCTATTTTAATCTATTCACTTTCTTGGTTCTGGACAGTAAGATGTGACCACTGTACTGTTCAGAGAACCTGTAGCTAGAATTATTTTATAAAGCCATCAAAACATACTAATTAAAAAGTGTGATAAATATCAGCTGATGATATATTTTTAGAAGCTGAGTACTATGCCAAATGTAGAGGCTGGTGGAATTACTAATATTTAGGATCACTGCTGCCCTCTGTGTCTTGGTCTAACGCCTAATTATGTTTGAGATTTCCCAGATTGGTCCCCCAATAATAGTGATTACTAAAAAGGTAGACTGCACACAAATTGGAATGACTAAAATCTAAAACACCAAATGCTGATGAGGATGTACAGCAGTAGGAACACTCATGGTTTGTTAGTGGGGATGCAAAAGTGAGCAGTCATTTTGGAAGACAATTTTGAAGTTTCTTACAGAACTAGAGACTCTTATCATTGAATCCAGCAGCTACAGTCCTTTGTATATATTCAAATTGAAAGTGTATATTCACATGAAAACTTGCACACAGATATTTATAACAGCTCTATACATAAATGCCCAAACTTAGAAGCAACCAAAAATGTATTTTTCTTGATGAATGGATAAAAAATTCTGGTACTTCAAAACAATGGAATATTATTCAGCATTATAAAGAAATGACAATTCAAGCCATGAAAATACATGGAAGATTCCTAAATGCACACCATTAAGTGAACAATTCCAATATTAAAAGGCTACACACTGTTATTTCAACTGTAAGACACTCTGGAAAAAGCAAAATACAGAAATGGTGCACGGATCACAGATTACCAGGAGCTAGGAGGGAGCAAGGAATGATTTAGTTGAGTACAAAGGATTTTTAAGGCCATGAGACCGTTCTGTGTGATACTATAAGAGTGAATATAAGAAATTATGCATTTGTCCCCAACAACAGAATGGACAACACTAAGTGCAATCCCTAATGGAGACTATGGACTTTGGGTGATAATGACATGTTACTGTAGCTTCAATTTTATAAAATGTAGCAATGAATGAGTTTGATAGTGCAGGATGCTGTGGGTCCGTGGGGGGAAAAGCGTATTTAGGGAACTCCCTCCCTTTCTGTTCAGTTTTGTTGTGAACCTAAAACTGCTCTAAATAATAAAGCCTATATTTTAAAGACAAAGAAATTGACATTTTTATACCTATATAGTGTCAAGCATTGTGATGGACACTTGGCGTAGACTATCTCACAGAACCTTTCAATCAAAAACCATGAACAGTTGATTAAAGAGCTGAGGCTCAGAACATTTAAACAGCTCTTTTAAGGTCATAGAACATATAAACAATAGGAAAGACATACAGATTTACACCTGTCAGGTACTGAAGTATCTGCTTCTCTTTGTTCAGCCATGACACCCTTCAAATCTACCAAGTTTGAAAGAAACGCCTCATGGTCATTTACTCCCCTCCAGTGTGTTTGCTCTACTTCATGGGCAAGGGTCAGGAGGGCGTGACAAAGTGACTCATAGGCGCAGCCGGAAACTGCTACCTGAGAAGTCTTATAAAAATTGGCTTAACACTTTGCCTTCCTCATTACTGCACTTGGGGTAATTATAACAGCCTTTTGTCTGTGAAAACTGACATCAAAGGTCTTGACAAAGAGTATCTCTGGTGGGAACTATGATTATCCCCATTTTATGGCTGGAGAGAATGAGGGACGGATTTGTTAAGTATCTTGCCCAGGGTCACCAATTGAGTCAGGGAACTGAGTCTATAGGCTGTTGGACTCCCAGGCTACATACAGACTCTTGCACCATAATTCTACTCTTGGCTCGAAACACTTGCCATATTCATTACACTAATATTATCATCCCTTGGGTAAAAATTAAGGGATTAAATCCAACCAAATCATAGCATCTGTATCAATGTGAGGGCTGCAGGAAATAAGGCCCTGGTCTCTGGGAACTAGGTCAGTACACTTAGTATTTTGATTAACTTTCTGGAGTACATATCTCGGGGATAAATTCATGAGAACTCACAAAATCCTCAGCCATCTATTCAGTGGCCAGATTCACCCTCCAGAGAGTTTCAATTTTTTGGTAATTTAGGAGCCTTAGATCATATTGCCTTTGACTAATACTTTGCTTTTGAAGCACAATGAAGAGCATGGCAGCAAGTAGAAAGCAAGAGGCAGATAGGAAGAGACTTCAGTGTGTTGGAGGATTGAGCTGGCTTTGCTGTCTGCATTCTCTACATGCAACTGTGTTTTGTATATCTGAATGTTAGCATGGTAGATGACTCTTGCTTCTCCTCCAAGTTAGATGCCCTTTTAGTTTCTTTGACTGCAAAATTCCCTCAAATGCTGCTTCCTCTTTGAAAACTTTGCTCCCTCTTCTATGCCCATCTCAGCCTTTTGTTCATACAATTGTTTTATCTATCACAGTTCTGCCATTGTCTGCTTATAATGCTTTGGTCTATACCATAAGACTACAAGCTCCTTAAGTACAGATAACATATGTGACACACCTCATTTCACCAAAGCACAGGGGAGATATTAACTCATGTGGTATTGATTTGGCTGAGCAAGAACTACACAGGACATCATTAATACAGTCATAAGACCTCACCCCAGCACCAGCCTTACCAGCTCTGGCTCCATTTTGACTTCTGCCCCATTATTTTTCAGATTTTCTTATCATTTGTATCCTTCAGGGTCTGCAAAAGTAGAAATCATATTTGCTTATCTTGTAATTGAGGAAAGCTTCATACAAGTAATATTTACTTAAATTCTGAAAGAATAGGGGTGGTCAAAAGGGATAGTACAGTGTCCTCTGTTAGTATCCATGGAGTAGTGTACTCCCTATTTTAAATGGAGGAAATGTGGGAATGGTTTCAGGATATAGTAGAGGGAGCACCTCCAGACAGGAGCTCAGCACTTGGTCAACAAACTCAGCTAGTGCTTCACCTTGCCTTCACTGTGTCCTTCCTCCTGACTCTTAACCATCTAGCAGCCAGGGGATGGGGATAGTCCACCGAAGCAGCTTGCACAGGTTTGTCTCCTGCACTAACAGCCTGCGTAGAATGGAAGAGAGAGAAAGTGTATGGGCCCATGGAAGATAACACATCATATGATTCTGTGTGGCTCCATATATAAGCCTGCCTGGAATCCACATGCTGAGGAGTAATGGCAAGAATTCATGGTAAACTGAAATCTATGGATCTTCTTTAGGCATGCATCCTTGGACGAGTTACTTCAGGGATACTATTTCATAGCTTCAGTTTCTTCCTCTGCAAAATGGGGATGGATATATCTTATAGGGTAGCTGTGAAGACCACATAAAATATATGTAAAGTTATTTCACATTTGACTTACTTCTATTCTCCCAGTGTTTGCCTTGTAAGTCATGCTGCAGTGAATATCTCTATGCAAGACTTCCCTCTCCACATCCGCAAGCGTTTTTGGAGTTTGCTGCATTGTGCACTGGATTTCCTTTCTTCAGGGAGTGCTGTATTGCTGGACTCACTAGATATTTAGGTGAGCACCTTCCTCTTTTAATTTCATTTAATCTTCATTTCAGGATATGGCGTTACCAAGATTAGACACATTGGTTAGCCTAAGTGTGATTCTGATCTTGCTTTAGGAAGGAGTGGGTCCCCAAAATTTTAGTTCATACTCCTTGGATATTATTTGTTTTCTTTGAAGGAGAAAGGCACCCATCCTGAAATTTGTTTTCAGTTTCCAGAATTTAAGTGTACCTGATTGCCTATTTACACAGGTCTTGGATTTTGGTAGCTGTTCATTTTTTTTTTCATTGATAAATGATTCAACACTCACACAAACCCATAGTCTGTGAGGTGAGCATCAAACAAGAGCATACATGGTGGGAGCTGAGGCCAGTGGTTTGCCCCAAGGTGTGGGGAGCAACTCGGACTAGACTAAGTTACTGGAATTAAGACTTATTCTATGCATCTGCTCTCCCACAATATGGCGCTGAGAAGGGAGAAGCAACTTCTACGCAGCTGCCTCTCGCCAATTTGATTGACTGAGCTGCAGGAGCTGATCCTGCTCCTGATTGGAGGAGAGCAGCGTACTCGGCGTGTGGGTAGCAGAGTTGGGATTGGTGGAAGAGGACTATAAAGGAGGAGAGAGACAACATGCACCAGGAACATCTAAGGGGAACATCTAGCTGAAGGAACACCTGTGCAGCCCCCGAGAGAGCCGGCCGGCGGTGTGCCGCTCCCCCGCGGAAGTGGGGAAAGTGGCCAGGGGGAACCGCCCTTCCACGGAGGTGGAAGGACGGTAGCCAACCCGGGAAGAACCAGCAGCAAACCCGGGGAGGGCCGAGCAGACGAAAGAACAGCGCAGGGTCCTGTGTCGTTCCTCCACGAAGAGGGGGAGCGACACCAAGGGACACATAAACTGAATTCTATAGCTTGGTTTACCACCCCTTCTTCTATTTCTCCTGTATTGTGCTACAGCCATTATGTAAAATTGTCTGAAATTATTAACCTATACTTGGTAAATATAGGACTAAATGAGTTTACCTAGTGCTGAAAAATCTGGCGAGGCCTAACTGCAGGGAACACATAAATCATCTGGAAAAGTGCCCATATTCCCTCTGAGGTACTGTTGTACACCAGAAATACATTTCATTACGTTCTCTGAACCCTCATTTATTTAACAACTTTCTCCCAATCTAATATCTCCTGTCTAATGAGTGCTAAGGTAAATATGCTGGAGATGCACGGAACTGCAAAAAGGCAGATAAATATACAAGCTTACATGGGGGTAAATTATATATAAGAATTGTCCCTTCTCTACTCATTTTAAAGTCCATTTTTTTACCTATTAAATGTTGTTTGATTTTAAGACCACCTTTTGCACAGCAGTGTTTGGAGGACTTGGTGAACAGTGGATTTTGTTAACAAGCTTATTCCTCTAAAATAGTATTTTTTCCTTCAGAAGAGTGTGCTTTGAGGAGTTGTTATCAACATGTAAATTGAAATTTCCAGAATCTGAGGCAAAGGTGATTAGGACTTATATAGAACTCAGTAAAGAAGATGGTAAGAATCTGTTCTAAAAGAATTGACCTCAGTGTGCATATCTTTTCTCCTCTCTGCTGCTTCCTGGCTAACCACATGGCCCCCACATCCCTCTATCTTCTGCCCCGTTTTTATTTGATAGAAGTTTAGGAAAATGTAAAAACCAATATTTTTCATTAATGTTTAGTAAATTATACAATACATTTCCCACATAGATATAAATGATGAACATTTGTGTACCTACCACCTCACTTGAAGATGCATCACTCTTCTTTAGAAGTTGCTGCCTTCACTTCCCCTCTCCACCCCCTTCATTCCTCTTAACTGTACCATTGCATTTCTGTCTTTGCCACCTACGTAGAATTCCCTGAGTGACATGCTTAGTTTTGTCTGGTCTGTGTTCTATGTGTGTTTCTGTCACCATTGTTGTTCTGATATCTATCCCTATTAATGGACATAGTTTAAAATCCCTTGTTACTGCTTTGTGGTATTCCAGAGTGTAGATATACAGGTTGACTATCACTGATCTGAAACACTTGAGATCAGAAGTTTCAGATTCTGTGGTCTAAAAAATTTTGAAATATATGCATATACATTATGAACTGTCTTCAGGATGGGACCAAAATTTAAACATAAAATTAATTTGTTTCACGTGTATCAGATGCACATACCCTGAAAGTAATTTTATACAATATTTTTAATGCACCTGTGTTTGCATTTTGATCATGACCTGTCACGAGAGGAATTTTCTATCGTGGCATCATGTTTTCACTTAAAAAGTTTTGGATTTTGAAGCATTTTCAATTTAATACTTCCCTATTGAGAATGTTCTACCTGTACCACTTCCTGTTCTGGTAGGGCTTGGAACTTTGGTGCCAAGTTTCTGGATTTTTCTATGAAGACCAATGCTGTTAAGAATACTTGGATGTGTGTGCAATCCTTCCTTTCCTCCCTCTCAGTCATTTTTATTCCTGAAATTCATAGGAAATAGTGATACCTTTTGTGGAGCCCATGGAGTAAAACAGGAATCTGAGTGTGTCTCTATTTGCTCTGATGTAAAGCATATCACCTTTACTTATGTTACATTGTTATACAAAAAGTAGGCAAAAGGAATTATTTCCAAAATTTTAATGAGAAATGTTAGTCTGTTTCCCTAAGTACAATATCTTGATATCAGACTTTATATTTGAAATGGCTATGTTCAATTTATACTGAAACCTTTTAAATGATGATTTCTTTAAATTCTTGATGGTGACTGTACATAAGAAATATTGAACAGGCAGGTGATGCAAAGTCAACATTCTATGTTTCAACTCTTAAAATTTTATGAGAATGACAGGATTTAATACTCTCATACTGGCAAATGCATTATCAAAAATACTTCTAATAGTGCAAATATATTTCACATCCTAGGAACAATTCTATATCAAACAATTAAAAATAACAATGAGGCTCTAGTTTTAATGCACAAGGAGCTCACCGGAGATGCTGGGAGCATATCATAGCAAGCAGAGAGAAATATGTGGTAAATGTCGGGAACAGTCAGAGACGTGGAACTGCCATTGAGGACTGAACCAGCTGGACTTCATGTGTTGGATCCTGGGAAGAGTTTCTGGGGCACAGTTCTGTGTCCATGATGACATGATACATTGTCCAGGTTGAGCAATCCGTAATGAATGGATTGGTAATCCACTGTGGGCTAAATTTGCAGTTTTCTGATTACTGAAAGAGTTGAGCTTCTTGTATTTTTGTTAACTTTTATGCACATTGTATTTTATAATGCTATAGCAAATATATCTTCAGAACCATATTTTATGTCTTGATTATAGAATAAAACTGATTACTCTCTTTTTTGTGTTTTTGGCTTTTTTGTTTTTAAATTCTAATAAAAACTTTAACTTTCTCACAATAAAATCATTTTAGTTTATCATATGTAAATAACAAATTTGCCTTCTATTTTTGGAAGATAAATAACAAATCTATTGTTCTTTGATAATCAATCTTTACCAGTGATTCCCATTTCAAAGTCATTTACAAGAATCAATTGAAGCTGGTTCTCAAAGATCTATTCAATGTTCTTTCCTGGAAAACTGCAAGGCAGCTTGTGAAAGATGATGGACATTAAAGCATTTGTACAAGTAATTGAGATTTTTAGTCTTTCTTTTGAAATAATTGTAGATGAACATGAAATTGAGAAATAATACAGAGAGATCTCATCTGCCTTCTACCAAGTTTTAACTAATGGAAACATTTTGCAAAAGTATAGTACAGTTGGGGCCGGCACTGTGGCATAGCAGGAAAAGCCACCACCTGCAGTGCTGGCATCCTGTGTGCTGAATCAAGTCTTGGCTGCTCCATGTCCAATCCAGATCTATACTATGGTCTGGGAAAGCAGTGGAAGATGGCCCAAGTGCTTGGGCTCTGCACCTATGTGGGAGACCCAGAAGAAGCTCCTGGCTCCTGGCTTCGGATTGGCTCAGCTGTGGCCATTGATGACATCTGGGGAGTGAACCAGCAGATGGAAGACTTTCTCTCTCTCTTTAACTCTGCTTTTCAAATAAATAAATAAATCTTTAAGAAAAAAAAGTACAGTACAACATCACAGCCAGGATATTGACATTGATATAGTGAAGGCACACAACATTTTCAATACCATGAGAATCCTTTATAACCACATTCTCGCCCCATAACTATTTCCCTTAAACCCTAGCAACCACTAATCTCTTTTTTTTCCCAATTGTACCTCTACTAATGAAAAAACTATAAAACTCATTTTAAAAAGAGTATAAAGAAGTGAATCATTAGCATTTTGATTTATATCTGAATAGTGGAGTTTCTGGAAATCTTTTTTGTATTATCTACATTATGAATAATGAAAGTAACATTATCCAAACATTTTTAAAAGAGAATGATGTAGTTTTAAGAGATTTCTATATTCTTAGAAATTACCTATCAGGACCTTGTGCATAGTAAATGCTTAATAAGTATTCATTGTTTAAATCAACTGAACAGAGTAATTAAATGTAAAAAAAATACTAAGAACAAACCATTAAGAAACTATCATTTCCCTAGTAACATAATCTAGATTGTGGTAATTGTTGGGCCAAATAACCATATATTCTTTTTTTTTTTAATTTATTTTCCCCTGAAAGAAATCTTTGATTTAAGGAACATAGACTTAATGAATTTCATAAGTACAACTGTAGGAATATGGTGACTCTTCCCACCATACCCACCTTCCCACCTAATCTTCTACCCCACCTCTGTGTCCCTCTCCCATTCCCAGTCTCACTAAGATCTATTGTTGGTTAACTATACACAGAAGACCAATTCTACACTAAGTGAAGAGTAAAACAATTTGCACAGCAAAAAACAAAGCAAAACAAAAAACCCTGTTCCACAAAAGTCAAGACAAGGGCTGTTCAAAGTCATTGTATCTTGAAGTTAATTTCACTTTTTTTTTTTTTTTAGAAACTTAATTAACTTTAATGAAGCACCCAAGAATGATATATCTTTTGGGAGTGCTTAGATGTAGTTATAATACAACATTTGAAGACAGAAGTCCTGCATGGGAAGTAAGTGCACAGTGACTTTTGTTGTTAATTTAACAATTAGCACTCTCATGTATGACGTCAGTGATCACCCAAGGCTCTTGACATGAGCTGCCATGGCTATGGAACCCTTTTGAATCCACAAACTCCATCAGTATTTAGACAGGGCCATAAGCAAAGTGGAAGTTCTCTCCTCCCTTCAGAGACAAGTACCTCCTTCTTTGATGACCACTTCTTTCCACAGGGATCTCATCCACCAACATCCTTCACTTAGGACATTTTTTGCCTCAGTGTTTGACTTTCCATGCCTGAAATGCTCTCATGGACTTTTCAGCCAGACCAGAGTGCCTTAAGGGCTGATCCTGAGGTCAGAGTGCTATTTAAAGGAATTGCCACTTGAGTCTGCTTTGTGGACTGCTTCCCATGTTGGAGCATTCCCTCCTTTTTAATTCTATCTGTTATTATTATCAGACCCTTAATCCTATTCATTGGATCACTTTAACACTTAAGATGATATTTTTAGGGGATGGCTCTGTGGCGCACTAGGTTAATCCTCTGCCTGTGGCCCCGGCATCCCATATGGGCACCCATTCAACTCCCAGTTGCTCGTCTTCCTATCCAGCTCTCTGCTATGGCCTGGGAAGGCAGTGGAGGATGGCCCAAGTTCTTGGGTCTCTGTGCCTGTGTTGGAGACTGGAAGGAAGCACCTGGCTCCTGACTTCAGATTGGTGCAGCGCCGGCCGTTGTGGCCATTTGGGGAGTGAACCAATGGAAGGAAGACCTTTCTCTAGGTCACTCTCTCTCACTGTCTGTAATTCTACCTGTCAAATAATAAAAAAAAAAGATGATATTTTTATCACCTAGCCTAAGGGGATTTGGGGTCCCCTAGGAAGTTTTTAAATTGTACCCCTTAGAATTAACTCCTGGCCAGCGCCGCGGCTCAATAGGATAATCCTCCACCTGTGGCGCCGGCACACCGGGTTCTAGTCCCGGTCGGGGTGCTGGATTCTGTCCCGGTTGCCCCTCTTCCAGTCCAGCTCTCTGCTGTGGCCAGGGAGTGCAGTGGAGGATGGCCCAAGTGCTTGGGCCCTGCACCCCATGGGAGACCAGGATAAGCACCTGGCTCCTGGTTTCGGATCAGCGCGGTGCGCTGGCCGCAGCGTGCTGGCCACAGCGGCCATTGGAGGGTGAACCAACGGCAAAGGAAGACCTTTCTCTCTGTCTCTCTCTCTCACTGTCCACTCTGCATGTCAAAAAAAAAAAAAGAATTAACTGTTTAGCGATGTATGCAGAGCTAACTTTACAGTTACAAACTTCATACATTTCATAATACCACTTTAGGAACGTGGTGATCCTTCCCACCATGTGCACCATCCCATGCATGCTCCCAAACCCTCTTCTTCCTCCCTTTCTTATTCCTACTCTTATTATTATTTTTATTTTTTTTTTGACAGGCAGAGTGGACAGTGAGAGAGAGAGACAGAGAGAGAAAGGTCTTCCTTTTATTTCATTGTTTCACCCTCAAATGGCTGCTGCAGCCAGTGCACCGTGCTGATCCGAAGCCAGGAGCCAGGTGCTTCTCCTGGTCTCCCATGCAGGTGGAGGGCCCAAGTACTTGGGCCATCCTCCACTGCACTCCTGGGCCACAGCAGAGAGCTGGACAGGAAGAGGAGTGACCGGGGCAGAATCCGGCACCCTGACCGGGACTAGAATCTGGGGTGCCGGCACTGCAGGTGGAGGATTAGCCTATTGAGCTGCAGCGCCGGGCCCTACTCTTATTTTTTACTGAGGTATATTTTCAATTGACCTTATACACGTATGTTTAACTATGTTAAGTAAAGAATTCAACAAATATTATTAAAAAAAACTGTTCCTCAACAGTCAAGACAAGGACTTTTCAAATCCAGCTTTCTTCACTTCTACAGATAGCCTTTTAGGTGCTCTATTAGTTATTACAGCTCAGGGAGAACATGTGGTATTTTCCCTTTGGGACTAGCTTATTTCACTAAATATGATGTTTTCTAGATTCATCCATTTTGTTGTAAATGATCAGATTTCATTTTTTAACCAGTGTAGTATTCCATAGTGTACATATCCCATAATTTCTTTTAACTTTTATTTAATAAATATAAATTTCCAAAGTACAGCTTTTGGATTACAATGGCTTCCCCCCCCCCCATAACTTCCCTCCCACCTGCAACCCTCCCATCTCCCGCTCCCTCCCCCCTTCCATTCACATCAAGATTCATTTTCAATTATCTTTACATACAGAAGATCAATTTAGTATATATTAAGTAAAGATTTCAACAGTTTGCACCCACACAGAAACACAAAGTGTAAAATACTGCTTGAGTACTATTCACATTGTACAACACATTAAGGACAGAGATCCTACATGAAGAGTAAGTGCATAGTGACTCCTGTTGTTGACTTAACAAATTGACACTCTTGTTTATGGTGTCAGTAATCACCCTAGCTCTTGTCATGAGTTGCCAAGGCTATGGAAGCCTTTTGAGTTCGTGGACTCTTATCTTATTTAGACAAGGTCATAGTCAAAGTGGAAGTTCTCTCCTCCCTTCAGAGAAAGGTACCTCCTTCTTTGATGGTCCATTCTTTCCACTGGGATCTCACTCACAGAGAATTTTCCTTTAGTTTTGTGTGTGTGTTTGTTTTTTGTTTTTTTTTTTTTTTTTTTTTTGCCAGCATGTCTTGGCTTTCCATGTCTAAAATACTCTCATGGGCTCTTCAGCCAGATCCAAATGCCTTAAGGGCTGATTCTGAGGCCAGAGTGCTGTTTAGGACATCTGCCATTCTATGAGTCTGCTGTGTATCCCGCTTCCCATGTTGGATTGTTCTCTCCTTTTTAATTCTATCAGTTAGTATTAGCAGACACTAGTCTTGTTTATGTGATCCCTTTGACTCTTAGACCTATTGTGAACTGAAACTGTTCACTTTGACTAGTGAGATGGCATTGGTCATGCCACCTTGATGATATCCCATAATTTCTTTATCCAGTCTTCAGTTAATGGGCATTTGGGTTGATTCCATTTCTTAGCTATTGTGAATTGAGCTGCAATAAACATAGAGGTGTAGAACTCTTTCATATGCTGATTTCATTTCCCTTGGGTAAATTACCAGGACTGTGATGGCTGGGTCATATGGTAGCTCTATAGTCAGATTTCTGAGGTATTTCCATACTATCTTCCATAGTGGCTGCACCAGTTTGCATTCTTACCAACAGAGAGTTAGAGAACCATTTTCCCCATATCTTTAC